AAAAAATCAAAAGTCCTAAATACTCTAACTGCTCTCATGGTCGTCCCCCACCTCCTCCTCATTGTCATCAACAGCATCAGATCTCCCCTCATCACTGTCGTCAGTGGGCACGAAAGATGAGAAGTCAATATTAGGGAAAGCGGTAGAAACTTTCCCTCGGAGATCCTCGAAATCATCAATAAAAGCATCTGCAAGACCGTTCTCCAAGTCTTCCTCAGCACGGGAAACTCTCTCCCTAGCAGCCGTCAGCTTTGCCTCTGCAACAGCTGCCTCTCTGAGCATGACCCTCCCATGGGCCTCTACAAGCTCAGCCTCTCTGAGCGTGCTCCTCTCGCGGACTGCCAAAAGCTCAGCCTCTAGCTTAGTGGCCCTCTCATAGGCTGCAACAAGCTCACCATCCCTGAGCGCGCTCCTCTCGTGGACTGCCAAAAGCTCAGCCTCTAGCTTAGTGGCCCTCTCATGGGCTGCAGCAAGCTCACCATCCCTGAGCGCGTCCCTCTCGCGGGCCGCCAGAAGCTCAGACTCTAAATTAGAAAACCTTTCATGTGCTGCCACAAGCTCACCCTCCCGGAGCACGTCCCTCTCACGGGTCACCAAAAGCTCAGAATCAAGCTCGACAATCCTCTCCTGAGCAGTAATAAGCTCCCTCTGCACAAGGCTAAGATCCAGCTTCAGCTTGTCTTGATTATAGGCCCTCGAAAGCAAGCAGATGGAGGATGTCGAAACCTAAAAAAAAAAAAAAAGGAGTCAAAAACACAGGAAACGACTGGAGAAAGGGAAATAGCAGACCCTTACCTGAGCCAGACCTTCCAAATACGTGTTGACGATATTATCAGTGCCCGAAGCGCTAAGCTCAGAAACTTCTGGCCCAAACACAAACCTCCCAAGCCTTGCCCTGATAGCTGCTGGTCTCCCCATCATAGCACCAGCCCAAATCGGCACTTGGGTAGAAGTTCCTGAACAAGGAGGAGACAAAGGAGGGGTAGCACGAGGAGAGGATAAAGGTGGAACAGATGTGCCTGGCAAGGAAGACTCTAGAGCAGCAGTTGGAGAAGTTGCTAGTTGAGAAGGAGCCACCGTGAAAGCCACATGGGGAGCATCATCTGTCCTTATCACTTTGGAAGAAGGAGGGCTCCTGCTAGAAAAACGGGACACCACCACCCTCTTATTCGCTGCAAGAAATAGAGAAGGGTCAAAAAAAAAAAAAAAAAAAAAAAAAAAGAAGAAGAAGTGTGCAGCATACCGGGCTTTTTAGCAGCACCCCAATGTGTTGGCACCAAAACTCTGTCGGCTTCTGAAGCCCATTCTCCACCAATAAAGAAGAAACAAGATTTCCAGCCGCCGCAATTAGAGCGCATCCCTGTAAGCACTGTACCACTCCGCGCGGTAAAATAATACCATCCCCTATTTGGTGTAGGGGTTTCGCTCAAATTATATGCTGCATGAAACTCCATAGGGGAAGCATCCTCGTGGTGCACCTTTTTCCATAAGGCAAGAAAACCGAGCAGGACTCTCCAACCGTTGGGTGCTAGTCGCCCCGGGTCAAGGAGAAGTAATGCAAAACTCGACAAATGGGGGAAGACATGGGAAATCTTAACCCAGCCTCAAGCATCTCCTCGTAGACGACAATATCCCCGGAAGAGTCATCGCAAGCAAACTCGCCCAACTCAGCCCGACGGCACAACACGGTCGGAGGGATGCGATAAGTAAAAACAAGCCTAGAAATATCTTCATCTGAACAGAACAAACTACGAAGGGTGCTCACCTTAGACCCGTCATCATCGGGTCCCACTTTGCTATTGCGTTTCTTCTTCCGGGGCCTTAAGGAGTAGTCCAAATCACCATTGGGAGAGTCTTGAAGAACTTGAATCGGGGAACTACAACAAGGGCTTGATCATCAAGGGCAGCATCCAAAGCTTCCCTATTGCTTGCAATTTCTAGCCCAACGCCTGAAAGTGTGCCTGACTGCCGTTGCTCATCAAAACAAAGTTGCCCAGTAGCTTGAAGGGTGCTTGGCCCTTCAATATTGCACAAAGCAGAATTTTCGGCGCGAAAATCAGCACCTAAGGCGCCCAAATCAGCACCTCGAGTGAGAATCGGATCAGCCCGTGCTCCCAGGCCACTGCCTAGCTCTCCCTGACAAACTTTGGACTGATTTTCAGCGCCCCTCGATGGAAAAACGCTGCTGCCCAGCGTTCCAAAGCTGCCCAGCGCAGCAGATCTGAAGCTGTCCGGGACAGCAGAGAAGCAGCAGCTAGGCTGCTGCCCAACGCGCCTGGGCTGTCCAGGACAGCAAGGCCAGCGCCCAGGCAGCTGCCCAGCGCGCCTAGGCTGTCCAGGACAGGAAGAGCAGCGCCTTGGCAGCTGCCCAGGCCCCCAGCGCGCGCGCAGCGCGCGCCCTGCGCTGCGCAGCGCGCCTGTGCTGCCCATCTCCCCTTCCAGCGTGCCGTCACTGCCCAGGCCCCCAGCGAGCGCAGAGCCACTACCCAGGCCCCCAGCGCGCGTAGAGCCGCTGTCCAGGCCCCCAGCGCGCCTTCGCTGCTGTCCAGCCGTCTCCCTGCGCAGCCCAAGCCATTCCTCGCGCCGCCCATCTCCCTTCGCTGTCCAACTTTTTAATTTCAGATCCACAGCTTTCTTCAACCTCCACCAATCCCTCTTCAATCGACATTGTTCACTTGAGAAGCTCAACTAGCAAGGAAGAAATCACACTCTTGAAAGGATTCAAGGAGAACACACACTTTGGCTTCAACAAAATGGGTAGGACTTGAGTTCCCAAAATTTTCAAGAGGTGGGTGCTCAACCTTAAAAATGAGTGAAGTGGTAACATGAAGAAGAAGACTATATTTATAGTCTAGGGTTTTTTCAAAAAGAGGAAAAAAAGCCCAAATTGACTATTATGGGCCCTCTTCAAAATAAAGTAGGCAAATAGAAAATTATGGGGCCTCTTCAAAACAAAGTGGCCAAAAAGAAAGTTATAAGCCATTTTCAAAACAAAAAGGCCAAACAAAATATTGTGGGCCATATTTAAAATAAAGTGGAAGAGACTCAAAAAAAAAAAAAATGTAATCAATGCCTCCTTCTCCAAGTCTCCTTGGACATGGGGCATTGGGGGGCAAATGATGGGTTAAGCCCAAATAGTCCAATTTATGCATTAAAGTCCAACCCCGGTTGAGGAGCCCAACCTCATTGTGAATCCACTAAGTCCAAGACAGTCCAAGGCCGGTTAGACTTCTTGCTTAGCACGTCACCAAGAGACCACCAAGACCAAGACGGTCCAAGGCCGGTTATACTTCTTGCTTAGCACGTCACCAAGAGACCACCAAGACCAAGACGGTCCAAGGCCGGTTAGACTTCTTGCTTAGCACGTCACCAAGAGGAGAGCACGAGAAGTTTATCTGCACCGTCAAAGGAAACAGCCCAAGGCCAGTTAGACTTCTTGCTTAGCACGTCACCAAGAGGAAAGCACGAGAAGTTTATCCACACCACCGAAGGAAGAAAACGGTCCAATCATTGACCACGTTTCATGAAGAGCTCCCCAACCTCTTCCTTCCGTTGAGGATAAGTTGCGATCTCCACAAAAGATAATCTCTAAGCTGCGATAAAGAAGCCTTGAGGATATGTCATGATCTCCACAAGAATGATTTCTTAGCTACTATAAAATGGCTCTAATCTGGGAGAGGAGAGACACATGCTCCATCAGAGACTTACAGAAGACGAACCGACTACCGGAGATTATTATTTTTCTTTGATTCTCCATTCCCCTCTCAAAGCTTGTATCTCCATTCTCCATACCTTTGAATCAATAAAATACCCGGCGACTGAAGCCATTGAAGAGTGGACGTAGGTCGAATTGACCGAACCACTATAAATTGTGTCTTCTCTAATTTTTTCGTTGATTTCATTGCATTTATTATCTATACTTGACCGGTGGTGTGCAAAACCAATTTTTGTGCATCATCAATCTTCATACAATAAATCAACAAAGCCTAAAATGATTTACCGTAAAAAATCAAACTAACATATAGGCATCACGATATATCATAACATCAAGGATAATACTGAGATGGTGATCTTTCAGAAAATCCTAATTATAGGGGGTGCACCAGAAAAATATATAAAAATTAAACCTTTTATAGGTAGGGAGGACATTAAATTGGCTATATCATGAATAAAGCATCCCCAGAATAAGAAAAGCTGTCTTAAAATTACATAAACATAATAATGAGTAGAGTATTAATTCTGAGTCAACATGGATGGAGAATGAGTCTTCTTCTAGGCAAGATAAGTTACAATCCATACCACCGGCTTATAAATATAAAGAGAATATCAAGTTCCAGCTCAAAGTAAAAGTTGGGGAGAGAGAGAGAGAGAGAGAGAGGTGAGGAAGTGATGATAATCGGGATGACCTATGTCCTAGATGAACATGAAGATGATGATGATGAGGATGACCTAAGTCCTAACCATTGTTGATGCTTTAGAGAAGAACAACCCAAGAGACCCAAAATATCTCTCTAGGGTTATCTCATGATGCATTTGAGCTCCACAACATTAGTGGAGTTCTGAAAAGGTTTGTGAAACATGCTAAAAACTAACACTACCCCTCCTATATTTTAGTAAATTGGGGCTAAAACTCCCAAAGTTTTGCCACACAAGATATTGTACAAAGAACAAAATTTCAAGAGTTAGTGACGTCCTCTCCCCTTACCCAAAGGAGAGAAGGTTCATTTGTTAGACACAGATTGTGTGATATGAAATGAGATAGGCCAAATTCTTTAAAAAGACATGACTAGTCACTGTTATAAAAATCCTAAGACTTGGGTTGCCATTAACGCAACAAAAAATTAGGGCATCCCATGCCCTAGATTATCCATAACAGCTGGTAAATCTACAAAACTTAGATTAAGTTGGAGGGATTAGCCTTTTCATGATCTACTTTGTGAAGTAGAATGGCTTGCTATTTTTCTTGTCGAATGTACAATTTTTTGCAAGCCATGTTTTGGTTAGCCTTGCCGGGGGCTAAATTCCAAAAATTTTATTTTTTCTTTTAGCCTTTCCAAGACTAAAGTTAGAAATGTTGTGTCCAACGAAGCTATTTGCATAGCTTGAGCTGGGGATGAGATGCACATGCATGCATGCTTTGCTTCTCTTGTAGGAACCTTTTCTTCCAAGAGAAGAAATGGGGAAGATGGAAAAATTTCCTCGAAATTTGGATTTAACCCCTTTGGGGGGCTTCTATCTCTGGTAAGTCCCACATGTGACGCATAGGCCTCCAAGAGAGAGAGGGAGAGCGAGAGAGAGAGACAGAGAACAATGGTTAGGCCAAAGGTGATGCAGAAGCTTTGAGGGAGTGAGAGATTGAATCTCTTAACGATGAGCCATAGGTGCATGTAGAGCCGGGGTCACGCCTGTGACAAAACAAAACAAACTGTCAAAGATGTTAGTACCTTTTTTTCAGATGCCAATAACTCGTATAGCTTAAAAAATGATGAAGAAAAATGAAGTTCTCTCTCTGATGAAGTTACAATTATTATTGTTCTTGTCCTCCTACAACAGAAGCATCACCTTTTTTTTTTTTTTTGAAAAAGACAATAATAATAATATTAATTATTTTATTTTCAACAAAAGATAATATTAATTATTGGAAAATTATTATTATTATAAGTCTTGATAGAATAATCACCAGTAAGATTCACGCGTGATATGGTGAAGGCATAGGTATGTACATAAGTTGCCCTCAAAATTTTAATTAATTTATAGTTTGGTCCACTTTTAACCTTTTAATTAGGAATATTTGGAGACCGGTCCTTATTTGTAAACATATTTGGTAATAAATTCATCAAGGAAACTTATTTAATATTAAATTTATTTTGATCTTCATTGTTCAAAATATTCTCATTAATTATAATTAATTACAACAAATTTGAAAATTAATAACTCCTAAATTTTAGGAGTTTGACTAATATCAAAATTCTCACTCTTATATATATCTATATCCATATAATCCAAATAACGTTTTTGAAACGGACATTCTCCGTTAAAGTGTGCAAATGAGATTTTTAAAAATATTAACTGCATTAACAATTTTAAACACCCCTTCTCAAATGTTTTCAACGTAGTACACGGTAGACGCTTTCAATTTTTTCACTCAGGATGCATTAGTAGTACGAGTTGGTGAATTCAAACAAAAAGTGATGGGTTTTAAAGTATAAGATGCATAAAGAATGTGGATTCAAGATAAGGCTATGTGCGAGTCTTAGGCCAAGTGCAGACTGTTTGAAATCACAAAATATGAAGGACCTCACACTTGTTTCTATCGATGGATAAACTAGGACCACTGTTAGCTTAATGCAGATTTTATACCATCCATAGAACTTAGTTGAGTTATATGAGTTGAGGGTATATCTAAATGAGTTGAGGGCATTGTTCAAGTTACCCAGGAAGTATATTGTCGTTGGTATGGAATATAGGTATCAAAGGCACGTTTGGCTAATATATACCATCCATAGAACTCAACGAATCATGAAACAATTATAGCAAGATTTGAATGCGAAAATGATCAAATGCAACGTCGAGTTGATCATTTTCATGCAATCAAATAAGAAAAAAATTAAGCATTTAGATCCTGATAATGCCATTAATTTTAGAGGGATCATTTTCTTGTTTCTGACCTTCAAGTTTCTGACTTTACTGATTCAAGTGACGATGAGTTCAAAAAATATCTTTCTGCTAGTTTATATGAACGTGATAAACCCCTATGTAGTTATGAACATAAACTAATACTTTGACTAGTTAAGATGATTAAAAAATGACAACGAAACCATTCTCATTGCTATATACCATTCTCGTGCACCAGTGGATATTTTTTGGCCCTCAATACATGAAAAGGAAATTTTTTGACTTTAAAAAAAAATTCAAGACATCTCAATTTTATAGGATAAAAAATGACTAACTCGGCTGCAAAATCATTTGTACATATAATATGGGCTAGGGAGGACTCAGACTATGAAGACGTTGTGTCGGAGTCATTTTAAAAGACGTATTTAAAAACGACATTTTAAGTGTCGTCTTTAAAATGTCATTTGGAATAACGCCTTCAACAAAGTATATACATTAGTTTCCATTAAACACAACTAAGTTCATTTTCACTCAAAAAGGTCATTTTGGAATGACATTTTTAATTTATAGGCGTCATTTGGAATAACATTTTTTGAAAGTGACTGAATTTGAGAAATAAATTTGAAATTAACTAGTTTTGAGAATTAAGTTTCCCAAAGACGTTGGTTTGGTGAAAAACTCGCTAAACATCATAGCGTCATTGTTTAACATCTTTGCAGCATGATCAAAGTTGTAGTGACATTTGGTTCGACTTGTAATTGTAAAACCATCATATTGTCGAAATTTTATGCACCTTCAAAGTGCCTACCTCTTTAAAATTGGGATATGTATAGATGAGCAATGGGAGACACATATTAGAAAACATCATGACTTTGTATTTATAACAAATAATTCATATAATTATATTATATTGACTTAATTTGAGGGCCTAAATTCAGGGCCGGAGCAAGAACTCCATCTTAATGGAGGCAAAAATATGAGCATGAAACTTAACCAATCGGTATAAAAAATCTTCTTGGACATCCATTTATGTGGATTAAATTTAGTGTTATTTTTACATAAAAAATTCTTAAACTAAAATATAAGAAATGTATTAAGATCCAAGATTTAACTACCATATGAAAATCAAAATAAAAAATCCATTCAATATCAACAAAATATGAACAAATAAATACAATAATTTTTTTCGTAGAACTTTTTTACTCCATAATTGTGACAACCCTGGATGTTTTGATTGTGAGCAGAAGAAAAACGGAGCGCGTGAGGAGGAGTGCGGATTGTCGGACTAGGAAAGGGAGACACTAGCATGCGGGTGTAGTTCTTCAGTGTGGGTGTGAGGTTCAAATACAAGCATGGTGGTGGTGTTCAAGTGAAGAAAATTGGGTCGAAACAAGTGTTCGGACGAACCAAGGTTAGAGCACGTCTAGGGAGTTAGGGGGTTATGGTTAACTTGGTGGAATTAATCGAAGGTCGAGTTGGGCTCCGATAAATTAATAAGTACTTTTCCAGTCATTGATTTAATGTGTTTGAATTTTTTTACAAAAATTAATAATTATAAAAATTGGACAATTTTGTGGAATGATCAAATTGCCCCTCCAAGCGCCTCACATCCTGGAAGCTGAGGTGGTAGCCAATGGTGCAAGGAGCTAATGCAAGCCTCAAGCATGGAAAAATCAACTGATATTTTGTGGATGAGGGTTTAAAAGGCTTCTGTAAACATCTGGAGTGGGGAGAGATAAAGGAGAGAGAAGTTAAGGAAAATTCAAGTTTTACTATAGGAGGGTCCGATTGACTAGATCTATACCAAACTCTTCATTTTGGCCTACTAAATTCATTGGTAAGCTTTAATTTTGGTCCACTATAGCGTGGTGTTACGAATTTGTGATTGAAGCATGTTGTGGGTTTTAATTTCTTAAATAGGTTTCATTTATAGCTTATTTTTTGATCTAATTAAACCGTATAGTGATGTTATTCAGTGTTGAAGCTGGGCGGTTGAGCTGGTTTCAGAGGGTAGGGCAACAAAGTCAACGGCTTAGGTAAGAAGAATAAGAGAAAAAAGACAAGCATGGGAGACTACTATCCACTCTGTAAGAGAGTGAGAGTGCATGGGAGGTCCCATGGATCTTTGGCTGCTCTCAAAATGAACCTAACGCACATATGGAGGTCCCCTTAAAGTTTCGTCACGGTCAGATACTTCGGTCAAATCGCGGTGTGAAATATCAATTTTGCTCTCCAAGGCCGATTTGACCTACTTTATGGGTGATTTTGCTTAAAAGCGTTTGATATTCACATTTAAATAGTTAAATTGAGTATGTGCATAAAATTTCATTGAAAAATAATTTTGTTCTATTTTTGGTAGTTTCGAATCAAAATACCGCATGAGGTAGGGTTTCTAATATTCAAAACGGGTGAGATTTTCTAAGCTCTTTCAAAACTATTTAATTATGTTATTTACAATGTTTAACATGTTAAATGAATTATTATTGGGTGGTTTGTACTATTTTGCAACTCTGGACCTAGTTAGGGTTTTGATATGCATTTTGCATGAAACTAAAACTTTGAGATAATTTTTAATGAAATGTAAGTGCACATATTATAATAAGTTTTATGCCTATGTACGGGAATGTAACTTAGCCTTAGATAGGGTAGTTCTGCTAATTGTTTTTAATATATGTTAGTTGAGCTTTTAGTGATGCATGAGTTATGCTATGTGGGTTTGACTTACTTACATCATGTTATATTGTGTTAGTTACATCAAATGCTTGTGCAAGTCGAGGTAACATACGTCGCATACTTGGGCAACCCAGGGTGCAAAAGGTTGGTATCAGAGCATGGTCAGATCTTATATGGGTCACTAGTGCATCAAATTTACCTATTAGATGTGGACTAACCTGAATTTTATAAGAAATGGTCTGCTAATGTAGGGTAGCATGGATAAACAAGTGAGATTAAATAACAAAAACTTCAACATGTTGATTGTCGCACTAATACCAGAATAAAGTCATTAAGAGCCTTGTTGATTCATGAAGAATATCAAGTCAATTGGGAGAAAAAAAGAATTGATCTCTTAGTTTCTTACAAATAATCAAAATTTGTTGAATTCAGTTTCTCAACACAATGTAAATAGGAGACCCTAATCGTCCTAAATTACTAGAAAACCCATTTGCCACACACTACACATGGATATAATGCAGTATGGATGATAGTGGATCGACTTACCAAGTCGACTGTGATTGACTTTCACACTAGAGAAATTATGCAGACTATATATACGAGAGATAGTCTGGTTGCATGGGGTATCCGTATCCATAATATTGGATTGGGATCCTTTATTCATAGCTTAATTTTAGGAGAGCTTTCAGCGAGTTATGTAGACTTAGTTGATGGTAAGCACAACTTTTCATCCCCAAGCGGATGGTCAATCAGAAAGGACTATCCAGATTTTGGAGGACATACTTTAGGCATACATCCTAGACCTTAAGGGTAGTTAGGAGGATCACTTACCCTTGTTTGGGTTCACCTACAACAACTGTTATCAAGAAAGCATTCAAATGACACCTTATGAAGCACTTTATAGGAGGTCGTGTCATTCTCCGATTTGTTGGATGAAGTTTTTGAGAGGGACCTTCCATGGATTGAGATTTGATCAAGCACACCTCGGAGAAGGTGAACATTATACGAAAGTGTCTTCTCACGGCTCAAAGTGGCAAAAGAGCTACGCCGACATGTGACAGAGACCTCTGTAGTTTGAGGTTAGAGACCATATCTTCTT